TGCATCCCTAATAATTATAGCTGCAGCGCTTCAACTTAATACTACATTTTCTGATAGATATTTTGTAAGGCACTACAGCAGCACTGCCTGGCCTCTGATGAGCTTGAAGAGACCAATCTAGATTGTTTATTTCTTCTGTAATCTGACCGACTTCCTCCAAATCTGCTAGAAGGGATCTAAAAATAAATATAACCTTCTTACAATGAATGTATTTTGTCCTTAAATACAAAAATCTTTATTTAATTGAATATTAGATAATAGTCATAAGGGCTGATAACAAAGGGAAATACCCCTACTTCCAGAAAAAAAAAACAAAGAAACACACAGAGAGAAAATGTTCAGGTGATTAAAAAGAATAAAAAAAAAAAAAAAAGGAACCAGAATACTCACCATAAACCCAGGCAACAGCTATACATTCAAAGAATGCCACCCACAGAAGGCACACACCGCTGGCTGCATAGTAGTCAAACAGCTGGAAAACGTACATGCCACCCTGCAGGGAAACACACGCTTTCAGACGCAGTTTCAATATAAATAAGCCCAAAAAACTCAGTGTGCAGGAAGTGTTTGGTAGGAAGGAAAAAAATGGGGCAGAGATTCAGCTTTGAGTCATCTGAGGTCGATGACAAAAAAAAAACAAAACAAAAAAAAAACCTGGGTCTTTAATCTCTTTAAGCTGCAGAACAAAGTGATGGTAACCTGGCCTTCCCCTGTCTGAACACTACAGGAAAAAATATTCTTAATCCTTGGAAGCCTAAAGCTGAATAAGACATTTGAGAAAAGAGGAAAATGAATAAATATGGAGATTTGGAAAAAAAAAAAAAGGCTTATTTTCATTTATAATCTCCTAAAAAACTAAAATTAGATAAACTGGGTCAAATTAAACGTTTTTAGAAAAGGGAAAAAAAGCAAAGAGTCCAGCAGAAGAAAACACGTAGGAACATTTGGGAAATAAACGGGCTCTGTAACTATTAATACCTACAGTGGAGAGGAAGTTCTCATGACTTGACACTAAAAGTCATGGGAACACCCCCGCCCCCCCGCTTCTCATGGGGCTGACAGTAATAGCAGCTCTGGTTTGGACCACATGCACCCAAAAGCAGGTCACCAGAAGCCTCTGTTTACATTCTCTAAAGAGGATTTTTCCTTTCCATATTTTGCTTTTAGTCATTTCACTTCCTGGTTTTTCTGTTCCTACCTTGGTCACCATGGTAAGTCCAAACAGGTAGCTGATGCAGCAGATGATAGCGATGAAGACCTCTCTGCAGTAACCCTTCCTTAGGAAGGACGGATACAGATCCACCAGTGATGTGATCTGCCCTTCCACCTCCACAAACTGGAAGAAACCAGACACTGGTCAGAATCCAAACTCTCCGACTGAACCCCATTGAATGTTGCAGAAACATCTTTATCAGCTACGCTTTTGCTGAGAAAAAAACAAAGAATCTATTTATTAAGTGGGTCGCTATTTGAGTCATTCTTCCACCGCACACCGAGACAGCAACTGAGACTGAAGCCAACAAAATGGAGGCACAGCGTCTTATAGAAGTAGGAACTATGCTAAAAAACATGGCGGACAAGCAGCTAGGCTTTCCAAAGAGAAACTGTACTGCCTCCAAAGAGGCGGGATCTACTAAAAAATGAAAAAAAAGTTGTCATGAGACACAGAAACAAGTCAACCGGCAAAGAGGAGAGAATCTATGAGAGGATAAAAACCAAGAAAGCAAGATGGAGTCAATCGTGGGACATATTGGACCTTTTAATAAGTGTGTCCGTTTTAATCAATCTGCTGGTATTA